AATTAAACAAATGTTGGTCCAAAATGTGATTTCCCTATATAAACTATAGTAAAGTTTACCCCCTCCCCAGGGGGAAACGTGAAACCCCAGAGTCATAAAATTCACAATTTTGGTAGAGCACCTTAAGACCCTTCCAAATATGAAGAGTGTTTGATTCTACCATATCTGGGTCTTGAGAAGAAGATTTTTGAATTTCAGTCAATTCGACCCTTTTTGGCCCCACCCATCAGCCGCGGGGTGTCAGTCAGGGCTCATATGTGCATACCATCAAACTGCTACCCAATACTGATATTGCTAACCTAAAATGAATTACCTCCAATGGCAATTAAACAAATGTTAGTCCAAAATGTGATTTCCCATATAAACTATCGTAAAGTTTACCCCCTCCCCAGGGGGAAACGTGAGACCCAAGGGTCATGAAATTCACAATTTTGTTAAAGCACCTTCAGACCCTTCTATCTATGAAGAGTATTTGATTCTACCATATTTGGGTCTTGAGAAGAAGATTTTTGAAATTTCATTAAATTCAACCCTTTTTGGCCCCACCCATCAGCCCCTGGAGATCAGTCAGGGCTCATATGTGCATACTATCAAACTGCTTCCTAATACTGATAATGCTAACCTAAATTGAATTACTTCCAATGGAAACTAAACAAATGTTGGTCCAAAATGTGATTTCCCTATATAAACTATAGTAAAGTTTACCCCCTTCCCAGGGGGAAATGTGAGACCCCAGGGTCATGAAATTCACAATTTTGTAAAGCACCTCAAGACCCTTCCATCATGAAGAGTATTTGATTTTACCATATCTGGGTCTTGAGAAGAAGATTTTTGAAATTTCAGTCAATTTGACCCTTTTTGGCCCCCGCCCCTCAGGCCCCTGGCGGCTGGGGACCAAACCGGCCACTAGTTTTGTTGACCTTTGGCCATGGAAGGTTTCTGCAAAATTTTATTGAAATTGGTTCAGGGGTTTACGGACGCATGACAGACGACGCCAGACAAAAGGCGATCGCAATATATGTATAGGTCACTCGAGACTCAGGTGACCTAAAAATGTAGGTTAAAAAAATATATCCTTGGGGTGCAAGGGGAACCCACCTTCCTCCTCGACTATTACGTTCACCTTTCGATCAAGCTCAAAAATAAACAACCACAACTAGGACCAAGTAGAAAATAAGATTGCCAAATATTTGAGAAATAGAGATACTTTTTTCAACCGAGATGGAAATGGCAAAACCCCGAAAAATATATTCTTTAATCCTTTCTTTCTGAGAAACTAACAGTTTGCAAACAAAAAACCCGGGTATTTGAATATTGCCCGATACCAAGGCTACTTCGGATACAAATACAACAAAATAAGATTGTCTTCCTTTCATGGTTTTTACTTCACATTCATGGTTTTTATCTTACATATATACAAATCGATTTTACCACCAAATAGAATTGAAACCGGAAACGACATGAAACATGAAATTAATGACACATAAGTGATAAAATCATGATCGAATATGAAGAAATGACCCCATATATTGTACAAACCCAATGTCAAGTAGCCCTAATGTGAAGAGCCATCTACTGTTTAATTCACTACTCCCATTACAGCACACACATCAAGGGAAGTTGTAGACAACCATACCTGTGTACGTCTGTCAGTACATTTAGTGTCGTTACTGAACTTGTAGCTCCAGTAATGAACAAGTGAATAAAATGTCATATAAAATGGCATCCTCTGTGCTTGCAAACAGAAGCATCTTGCAATATGTACAGCACTCTATAGAACTTTTATAAAGCTATGTCTTCTATACTGTATCACAAATATTCCCCTATACAACACAGAACACGCTGGAAATGTTTTAGTTACTGGTACATCATTCATATCTATGGAATATCTACATTCACTCAATCATGCAACGATCGCAAGCTCATACATATAAGACATAAACTTTGAAGAAATAATTTAACATTTGACAACAACAGTATCATCCAACAAGCTTCCAGCACTCCAATACAGTATCATCCAACAAGCTTCCAGCACTCCAATACAGAATAAACAGACATTCACTCACCCATGATCACACCGTTAACATAGATGAAATTCACTCCGTTAACATAGACGAAATTCTCACCGTTAACATAGATGAAATTCACTCCGTTAACATAGACGAAATTCACTCCGTTAACATAGACGATTCACTCCGTTAACATAAGACGAAATTCACTCCGTTAACATAGACGAAATTCACTCCGTTAACATAGACGATTCACGCCGTTAACATAGATGAAATTCACTCCGTTAACATAGATGAAATTCACTCCGTTAACATAGACGAAATTCTCACCGTTAACATAGATGAAATTCACTCCGTTAACATAGACGAAATTCACTCCGTTAACATAGACGATTCACTCCGTTAACATAGACGAAATTCACTCCGTTAACATAGACGATTCACACCGTTAACATAGACGATTCACTCCGTTAACATAAGACGAAATTCACTCCGTTAACATAGACGAAATTCACTCCGTTAACATAGACGATTCACGCCGTTAACATAGATGAAATTCACTCCGTTAACATAGATGAAATTCACTCCGTTAACATAGACGAAATTCTCACCGTTAACATAGATGAAATTCACTCCGTTAACATAGACGAAATTCACTCCGTTAACATAGACGAAATTCACTCCGTTAACATAGACGAAATTCACTCCGTTAACATAGACGAAATTCTCTACGATGTTAGTGACTATCACTCCGTTAACATAAGACGAAATTCTCTACGATGTTAGTGACTAAATAAGGCTGGTTCTAATTAAAACCAACATACAACTAAAACCCTACTATACAGCAAACTAGGCATTTTGCTATATGAAGATATAAATATGTTTAATATTTTGCTACTGGTCATATGGTCTCACCATTAACTTAGTAACAAGTTAAACACAAATCTCTTCGTAAGATAATATAGACATGAATAAAACACTTATAAAGCCGACTTCCATATATTTTTCACTACCATCACAACTTTGTAAATGCATCAGCTTTCAAACCGATTCTTTGCAATTTTTAACGTTTGGTCATCTTTTAACCTTTTGGTCATATCAGTGCCAAATAAATTGGTGCTTCCTACAGTATTTAATGACATTTTTTAAGAAGGACTAGGTTAATACAGACTTCCTTCTCTAACTGTAGTAAAAATAAAATAAAATGAATTTTTGACTCAAATTTCTTTTTTTTGTGGCACATGCTGATTTTCTTTTGTCTTAATATATCTTTTAATAATAAACTTTAAAGAACACATTTTCTAAACATTGTCCTCCTAAACCAGGTATTAATAAATGCATTTCATTCCATCTTTAAAACATTCACAACAAGTAACCGTTCCAAAAGAACTGCTCAATGTGGCAGATACATATGCTTATGTAATTCATAACAAAGAACAATCATACGAATACCACCCATGGATTTACTCAATCAAATCACTGGCATCTGCACATATATCACTGTTCAGTCAAAACTCAGATTTGTAACGGGTTAATTTTTCAACTTGTGTATTCTGCAACGCAACAATGCTTCAGCAGTTGGTCAGATCCTCATCATTATTCACAGCCATCTCAGTCATGCATACTTGTCAGTCATACACCCTATCACATCAGCTGTTTAAGAGGTCTAGTGGCCAGATTCCTAACTTCAGCCAGATATCATCTGACATTAGTCTATTTTCACAGTCGAGTAGATTTTCCTCACAAAGAAGCTGGTTCCAATGTATCCAAATGTACCTGAAATAGGTTTAAAAATATATAGTGGTTATATCCATTCGCTGTCATTAGTGACGTAGGGGGAAAGTCTAGAAGGACATAAATCAATAAGGCTGAATATCTAGCCAATAGTTGTTTATCAAAATCCACTTTAAAGATATCTTCTTCCCATCAAAGGCATCTTATTTTTCAGGGTACCACCATAAAATTCAACAGAAAATTTGATATTTATTAGATTCCATCAAATTAATGTAAAGCATTCTGCATTACTAATAATAAATAGCTACTTACCACACATCACTCCAAGAGCTAAACTAAACAGGGCCATATATCCAAAGTAAAACGCTGTTTGAAACAAGCCATACATTCTGTAATTAAAATGAAAACACATGTGAAATTGAAGTTGAAACAGTCAAACATGAAAAACAAAAAAATCTAAAATGAATTCCAGCAAATAATCTGTCAGCTGTAGACATGGAGTTAAAATGAATCTACTGGAATTCAGAATAAGTAAAGAGTGTCTCAGCAATCAAAACATTGCGACAATTTTGAATTTTGTATATCAACCTGAAAATTAACAGCATCTGTTCAGAACCACGAGAGCATTCATATAATGCTCAATAAGGTTGATACCATTAAAGGAAATAGAGAAGTCGGAAATGTCTCCGCCAATCACAGGTCAAGACAGCCATTTTGGGTTTCAAACACGCCTTGAGAGTAGAACAATTTGTGGTGAGAGTCGAGGAATAGTCCACTAAAAACTGAGACATCTCTCCCTTTTTTGTGCCATCCCTCTGCTGGAAGGGGAGCTATAACCTTCATTTAACTATTCAAAAATCATGAGCTGTTTGGAGTTAATTTTTAAAGGAAAATACTAAAACACATATTTAAGGCAAAGAGACATACTTACTTAGTTTTAAAGAAAAAGTAATAAAAGGAGTAGAGATACACATATCCCGATGTTGACGCTGCAGCAAGGAAACTTGTCCACTGCCTAGAATAACAGATCAATAGTTCTTTTAAAAGATTAGCAACAATATCATTTCAACAAAATAGGGAATGCTTTTCTGCGTTATAGTATTTAAAAATATTTTTACTAAATAAACTGTTTTCTAAAACAACCATTCAATAATGTTACAAAATGCCTCCATGCATCTTTGATGTTATATCTTCAGTAATATAGACGTTAACATTATATTGGTGGGGTTTTATTTGTCAAGTTCACATCAAATGCAGTACTTACCAGCGGTAGTCCTCTGCATTCAGTAAAAAGTAAGTACAAACAATAGTCACACACACTGTCACAACAGTCAGAATTAGAAACACCAACAACATGAAACCATAGACGTAGTATATTTTGTAGGCCCAGAAAGAGGTGAAGATGAAGTACCTGAAAAATATAAAATTGTTTTAATTACCAAATGAGTAACAGTCAAACACCAAAATAAAACATCAGCAAATATCTAGACTAGAACATTACAATAAAACTCTTACACTGAAAACTTATGTTGATAGGATTGAAGTTTATGCTGAAGTCTTCATTAGTCTAGTCTAGGGACTGAAAAGCTTACCTGGTCTTTGTATCATGAACAATATTTAATTCCAGAGAAATGAATTCAAGTTGAGAACAAGCAAAATCTCAGTAAATATGTATTTTTAAATCTTTACCCTTACTTCTATTTTTGGCCTTAAACCCTGTATATTTTTAGTTATATTTCCACAATAAGACGGATACCCTTTGTTCCCCCTAGTTCACTCCCTTTTGACCCTGCCCCTCTGTCACAAGGGGAGCACATATCTCTATACAACAATGAGTCTGCTTTGGCCTAAGAATCCTTTATAACAAATGTGGTAAAAATTCCCATCAACAGTACTAAATAGTCTTTAAAAGCTACTTGGCGGACAGAATCAGTTTGGCCTTTTAGATTAATTCCAGAATTAACCCAGTATCACTTTTCAGTCCTAGCAGGTTTCATTGCATCTGGACAAGAGCAACATTGTAGACGGAGTACATCTAAGTACAAGAAACACATTGAAATTCAGCCCCTATGTCCAGGGATCCTTCGTACCATACTGTAGGAGTATCTGCCCTAGGGTGTGAGGTATCACACACTTTATTCCTTTAATGTTGAAAACACTTTTTATCCAGGGGTGCTCCAAGCCAAATTTTGTCAAAATTCATGCAGATGTTCTGGACTAGTATTCCTCAAGGCAGGTGAAATTCAAAACTTACATCTCAATAAATATAGAGCCAAATGGCAGGATTCCTCCAAGCACGGTTATCACAGCAGGTTCCATAAACCTAAAACATAAAACTCCATTTAGTATAAAAGACAGAAACAAGAGAAACTGCAAGGGAAGAACAATATGTATCTTGTTCAACCCCATGATAACGTCATATACTCAGGATCCTGTGATTAAAAGACATCATGTTTACCACTATTTTCATTCTAAATATTTCCATACTGTTATGGACAAATGATGTTGATGTGTTAATCACAAAATGGCCAAATACCAGATTATGAGGCACTCCCAAGCTTTTTCATGCCTTTCATTTTCTCCCATTTACACAATGAATGTACCTTCTAATAGGAAACTCTTTTTTTTTTCTTTGGCTCTGGTCAACTGAATCCTTTGCAGGATTTTGATGTTACAAGATATTCATCGACCAAGAAGGCTCATTTACATACCACTTCTTCTCCGGTATGGGACGTGGGACAGCGTTGATGCGACAGGGATAGTTGGGCTGGCCTGCTAGATTCCTCCCCAACACTGTTCCCACCAGGGTCAATGGCAGTATCACAAAGATGCAGATGCAAGTCACAGCCACCTAAGAAACAACAAAACTGTATATGTGACTGGTGTGAAAGTGTTATGTACTTCATTTATTTCTATTTCAAATGAACTTCCTTTTTTCTAGCGTAACAAACATTGGTAAAATATATATTTTAATTTTAATTTGAAGTTGATATCATGTAAGTGACCAAGTACTTAACCCTAGCTTATACCATTAGGAGTAATTTTATTTATTGTTTATTTATTGTTACAGACAAGTTTTAGAATTCCATAACAATTACCCCTAATGACTGTGGTCATCTGGTCCATAACACATCTGCCCTAGGTCTATTCTGTTGGCAATTTCCAAGTACAAAATTTTAAAATCTGAAGATAGCACATGTACATGCAAGTGTAACTACAATTTAACCTATATATATGGACCACTAATTAGTCCCTTACCATGGTACCAAATGGAATGGCTCTTGATGCATGGTAGTAGATTGCAATAAAGTTGATGAAGAAAGCTGTTCCACACACAAGAGATGGCATCATGAATGCACTTGCTAACATCTGCTTGATCCATATTTTACCTGTAACCAAAACAATTTTTCAACTTCTATTATTTACTTGTCAGCATTTCTTTAAAGAAACAAGTTCTCTCCGACTCATTTCATTTTCAGTTACAATATTATCCCAAATTTGTACGTTTTTTTTTTACCTGACCATAAATATTTGAATATTATTAAATACCTGAAAGTTTCACAATCACATAAATAAGGTAGATTATATTTTAACAAATCTATCCATGATATAATCTGCAATGTAGCTTAGTATTTATTGAACACATACATAGATTATTTCAAAGGGCTGATGATATATGACAAGTGTGATTGTTCGAATAGATAATATTACAACTGTAAGTTTTATGATTTTTCAATAACAAAATACACTTTTTTTACATAAAATATCTCATATATATATATCTGGAGATCACTAAATTTAAATATATTTGAATTAATATTATTCATTTTGAGTAAATATCACAATAGTGTCGGCTACAGTTTAAAAATACAAAATCACCTAGGTCATCAACATTGAACTTCTTGTTTGTGGATTGTTTATAGGTTCAGGTTAATGGGTATCATCATGTAAAATATGTCTTGGAAGACCTTGAACCATTTATTTGTACCCTTTACCCTAAACACTTATTGTTGCTTCATTTTGCAAAAATGGGAAAATTCTAAAAGTCAAAACCACATCTTTAGTGGACAACTTCTTCGCTATGTAACTGATGCGGTAGTAGCCTTTACCCTAAACATTAGTAAGAAGGATTCATAAAAGCTTGTACACCATTGCTGACATGTTATTTTTCCCCACTCAAGCATGGTTAAAGGTAGGTAATTCTTGCTTACCTCCCATCCTGGCATATAGACTCCCTCCAAAGTATCCATTGACTGGAGATGTAGCAGCATACACAAATATGGCAGTACTTAACAAAGAGCCTCGTCTGCAATGAAAAATTGCATTCCATACTTAAACCTGTACATTTAAAAAAATAACAGTCATATAATGCTTTAATGATATAAAGAGAGTATGTACACATTCCGATACCAAAACTGTTCAAGGATATCCCATTTCTTATCCATAATGCATTTATTGTGAAATGTTTGTTTCCATGCTCAAATATTTGGCAACATAGTGAGCAGTATTAAATAAAATGTTGATTTTGATTCATTCAATTTATTTGTGTCTGATCACTTTGTTGTCTGTGTGTCGCCGACTCTGAAACTGTCACGTTTGTGTATTTAAACTGCTTTCAAATTCGATCTGGACATGTTCGGTTGTTGTTTTTGTCTGTCCAATTTGTGCAGTCTTCATTTTCTTCTTCGACTTTATCACTTCCTTTAAGATCATTGTCTGCATTATTTTTTTATTTTTTTTTTAAATCCGCGAGCTTCAGCTGTCTGCTCGTCATTTTGTAACTGAGTTAAATTTCTAAGTTCTATTTTTAGGACGACGAGCCCCGGATGTATATTTCGGGATGTCTGCGCTCATCCAGGCCAGAAACCGGATGTTGTTTCGGGACTTGTCATAACGCAACCAAATCGGCATTTCATACATGCTGAAGCATGGTAATTTTTAGCAAATGGATTTATCTATAATTTAAACACAGCGTAGATGAAAAAACTTAGCGGATTTAACTTTGATGTCAGAAACCACTTGCCAAATCTGATTTCCACTCGTCGTGGACAAGCGGATAAGTGGTTGTCCGGAGCCCTGATGCTACATTAAAAACAGCCTCAAAATCATCAATTTGAATTGAGTGATTTGAACAGTTAAAATGATGCTCATATTTTAACAACAGGACCAGATTGACCTGCATTGCTCATTCTGATATTTTTTTTTATTATATCTCTCCATCACTTTAGTTTTGAAAACCCATTAACTCGAAATGTTTCCCCAACAAAATCTTTTGTGAAAATCTGCTCAGCGATTCAAAAGTCATTTAAAGAAAAGGTTTATGGGTGGACCAACAGATGATAGACGTGACAGTATGGCACAAGCTTTCCTTGGTCATTTGGACCAGGTGAGCTAAAAACTGGCAAATGCAATCATATGAATTATCTTACTCAGTATACAGGTCACCCAGGATGGCAAAGATGATGACGCAGAGGGACACACAGGAGATATGATATCCTGATCCAATTAGAGCCGAGAACAACATGGAGTGGGAGGCTGGTCTAAACACATCCCCATGGACTTGCTTCCATCCATATTCATCTCCTAGATCCTTCTCCTGACAAAGAAAGTTTAACAATGAATATCACAAAAAATCCGGAAAATTGGTCGGCATGTCGTTTTTACTCACTCGTTAGTCAACCAAGTCCCGAAAACATTTGAATAAAGATAAGGATTGATATACAGGCGAGCGTTAAAATGATTATGATTATTAGTATTGTGTACAAATGGCGCTCATTTCGGTACAAATAAGGAATGGGGGGTTCGTGATTCTCGTCTGGAACATCGTGGGGGGATTTTTCGGAGGCTTGCTCTATGACGGGTCTCTACACAACTATAAAAAGACAAGGTTATGCCCACAATGAACGTTTTACAAACTACACAATAAAAAAAAATCGCCCTCATCTCGTTTTTGCCATGTAAAATGAAAAAAAATACCGCCCTGCCGCAACTCTTTTGAAAAAAATTGGCCTGAGAACCAAGTAATTAATTTTGTTTGGCCTAATATCCTGGGCTCATTTATTTACATGTTACATTCAGGTTAGATGTAGGTTTGAAAAGTGTGCAAAAGATAGCTTGAGCAACTGTGATATAATTTATTTTAAACCTTTCTATTTGCAGAAAAAGCACTTCATCGTTAAAAGAAATTGAGAACAATACTCCATTGACAATATGACTGTTCGATAAAAGGCTCTTGCTTAAAGTAGCAATTTTTGGATGGTGTGGTTTGGTTTGCTTTTGTTTTACGTCCTATTAACAGCTATGGTCATTTGAGGACGTGCCAGGTTTTGGTGGTGAAGGAAAGTCAAGAGTTCCTGGAGAAAAAACACCGACCTACGTCCAGTACCTGGCGACTGCCCCACGTAGGCCTCGAACTCCGACCCAGTGGTGGAGTGCTAGTGGTAGAAGAATGTCAGACGCCTTAACCACTTGGCCACCTCGGCCCCTTTTTTGGATTGTACAATTGCGACTGACTTGACCAAAAGTAATCACACATACCATATCATCCAAGTCCTCTTCCTTGCTGTAGCGTGCGTAATCTTTCCTCAAGGTCCTCATCAGGATCATGCTGACCAACCCCACCAAAAAGATGACCATCATAAAGGAATTGAAGATACTGAACCAGTGGATCTATAAAAACGAACCAGTGGAATTAAAACGAATCAAGTGAAACAAGTGTTCTTTTCAAGATGTTACAGAGAAATGCCTCTGCTGGAGGAAGCATCAGACCTTGATATGGAAATTACTAGTCCAGTGCTCTGCAAATTTTACTGAACTAAAAATTAAACATGCCCTAGCGTAGTCAGTAACAAGGTTGAAGCGACAAGATTATGTAAAGATAACACATTTATTAGCAGTAGAATATTTTTTTAATTGAACAATTTGATTGAAACATTGGTTTAGCAATATAACCAGATGTAAAATACCAATGAATATTACAAATATGTAAAAATTGTAAGATGAAATTGAGGTCATGCTTGTCTCGAGTAATACTATATTGAAAATTTGCCTATGAATTGTAAGATAGCTTAGTTATAAATAGATCTGCTGTAAGCCTATTAAAGTTCAATGTGCTGGATTACAATCCATTGTCATAACAAGACACTTATATATGTAGTCTCTTTATACAGTTGGACAAAACCATACAGCAATTGTTTTCTATGTTTATTCTTCACAATATGTTTAACAATTGAATACATAGTGTGATACTGATACAGTGCTGTACTGCAATATGTTAGGATACATATAGTGTACAAGGGCGATTTCACAGCCGGGAGTATGTAACAGTTCACCGAGTTACTGCTCGATACCGTTTGATTTTGTACTTACTCTGTGTTGGAAGAAGTTTGGATCCAAATATTTGTCAAACCTGTCAACAAATTTGATACTGGAATCATGCCATTTCACCTAAAAGTCAAAAGCAGATAGTTTCATTGTAAATTTTGGTAACAAAATCAAGATTGCAAAGTTGATGAGAAAAGAGAGATTCAAGTTTGAAATATGAAATGCTCAGTCTTTGATCTGAATTCATTGTTTATCAGAAATCAGGGTTCAAATGTAAATCATCACAGCAATATCCCTTCTTCTACATCGTCTATTAAAGAACAAATACTGAGTTTTCATGTTAGAATCTGAAGTTTTATAATAATGACCGACTGTTTATCAAATTGTTATGAAAATGACTACACTTAGTTTAACCACTGTTTACAATAGAACTACTATAAAGTAATAGTTTGTTGGTCTGATATCAAAGTTGTATCAATTGACCTGCAAGTTTGAAAATTAAAATTTCAAGATCAGTTGAGGATTTGTCAGACCTCGGGGCTTATATGTTAATTACCAGTCATTTCCTAGTAAAATGTTTGGAAATTCATAATTCCAATGATTCACGCTTAGGCAAACAATAATTAATGTTTAATTTTGGGCCCAACAGAATGCTTTACAACCTACAGCATACACTTGAGAAATTCAAAAGCAGCTTGTTTTTGGTAAACTTCCTGCAAGAACTGTTAATTCACCTACAGCTTTTTATCCATGTAGCTTTAGTTCTAGCAATTGTATTTTTTTTGTTTTGAAAATGGCCAAGCTCAGCTAAGAATCTCAATTCATTGTATATGTCAGAAAGAAGGGTTCAAAAATATCATCATAGCTAAAGCCATTTCATGACACAAAATCCAAACATTCAACTTTGATGATTCCAAATTAAATGCAAAATGTTATTCTTCATTTTTTTTTGGCTAAATTCAAATAAATTAAGTACAGCAGGATTATAACATCTGAGCCAATTGTGTAAATCTTGTATGCTAAGAGTTGTGTGCTTTACTGGGACCATGTGATTTCTATGCAGTTTCAGCAGAGCAACTCTATGTGTCCCTTTAACACATTGTTTAATTACAACTTTTTAGTTTATCAAGTTCATTGCAAAAACAGAGCAACTGCTGGTGAATGTTGTTGGACTTACAGAATGTTTGCCTTGTGATTGACTCATATTTAGTGCAAATGTTGTAAAAATTCTAAAGTAACTCATCCTAAAACTAGTAGTACTTATTAAAAGTTTGTTAGTCTGACATCAAACTAAAGATATCTCCAAATTCACACTAGATAGGTTTAGCCTAAAACTAGTTTGGTTTTCACGGATAAGGAAACAAACCTATTTAGTTTTTAGCTTCCTTTAAACAAAATTTAGAAAAAACATTATAATATTTTCTGTCTATCCACAGATATAAAATGGCAGTCAATTAAATGTCACCATTAACAACCCATTCTGTATCATATCAAACTTGTTATATAACTATGACATATAGCATCATTTAGATTAAACATGGTAATCGACAAAATGCTCAGTCATTGATCTGAATTCATTGTTTATCAGAAATCAGGGTTCAAATGTAAATCATCACAGCAATATCCCTTCTTCTACATCGTCTATTAAAGAACAAATACTGAGTTTTCATGTTAGAATCTGAAGTTTTATAATAATGACCGACTGTTTATCAAATTGTTATGAAAATGACCACACTTCGTTTAAACATTGTTTACAATAGAACTACTAAGTAATAGTTTGTTGGTCTGATATCAAAGTTGTATCAATTGACCTGCAAGTTTGAAAATTAGAATTTCAAGATCAGTTGAGGATTTGTCAGACCTCAGGGCTAATATGTTAATTACCAGTCATTTCCTAGTAAAATGTTTGGAAATTCATAATTCCAATGATTAAAGTTTAGGCAAACAATTAATGTTTAATTTTGGGCCTGACAGAAAGCTTTACAACCTACAGCATACACTTGAGAAATTCAAAAGCAGCTTGTTTTTGGTAAACTTCCTGCAAGAACTGTTAATTCACCTACAGCTTTTTATCCATGTAGCTTTAGTTCTAGCAATTGTATTTTCTTGTTTTGAAAATGGCCAAGCTCAGCTAAGAATCTCAATTCATTGTATAAGTCAGAAAGAAGGGTTCAAAATATCATCATAGCAAATGCCATTTCATGACACAAAATCCAAACATTCAACTTTGATGATTCCAAATTAAATACAAAAATGTTCATTTTTTTTGGGCTAAATTCAAATAAATAGGGTACAGCAGGATTATAACATCTGAGCCAATTGTGTAAATCTTGTATGCTAAGAGTTGTGTGCTTTACTGGGACCATGTGATTTCTATGCAGTTTCAGCAGAGCAACTCTATGTGTCCCTTTAACACATTGTTTAATTACAACTTTTTAGTTTATCAAGTTCATTGCAAAAACAGAGCAACTGCTGGTGAATGTTGTTGGACTTACAGAATGTTTGCCTTGTGATTGACTCATATTTAGTGCAAATGTTGTAAAAATTCTAAAGTAACTCATCCTAAAACTAGTAGTACTTATTAAAAGTTTGTTAGTCTGACATCAAACTAAAGATATCTCCAAATTCACACTAGATAGGTTTAGCCTAAAACTAGTTTGGTTTTCACGGATAAGGAAACAAACCTATTTAGTTTTTAGCTTCCTTTAAACAAAATTTAGAAAAAACATTATAATATTTTCTGTCTATCCACAGATATAAAATGGCAGTCAATTAAATGTCACCATTAACAACCCATTCTGTATCATATCAAACTTGTTATATAACTATGACATATAGCATCATTTAGATTAAACATGGTAATCGACAAAATGCTCAGTCATTGATCTGAATTCATTGTTTATCAGAAATCAGGGTTCAAATGTAAATCATCACAGCAATATCCCTTCTTCTACATCGTCTATTAAAGAACAAATACTGAGTTTTCATGTTAGAATCTGAAGTTTTATAATAATGACCGACTGTTTATCAAATTGTTATGAAAATGACCACACTTCGTTTAAACATTGTTTACAATAGAACTACTAAGTAATAGTTTGTTGGTCTGATATCAAAGTTGTATCAATTGACCTGCAAGTTTGAAAATTAGAATTTCAAGATCAGTTGAGGATTTGTCAGACCTCAGGGCTAATATGTTAATTACCAGTCATTTCCTAGTAAAATGTTTGGAAATTCATAATTCCAATGATTAAAGTTTAGGCAAACAATTAATGTTTAATTTTGGGCCTGACAGAAAGCTTTACAACCTACAGCATACACTTGAGAAATTCAAAAGCAGCTTGTTTTTGGTAAACTTCCTGCAAGAACTGTTAATTCACCTACAGCTTTTTATCCATGTAGCTTTAGTTCTAGCAATTGTATTTTCTTGTTTTGAAAATGGCCAAGCTCAGCTAAGAATCTCAATTCATTGTATAAGTCAGAAAGAAGGGTTCAAAATATCATCATAGCAAATGCCATTTCATGACACAAAATCCAAACATTCAACTTTGATGATTCCAAATTAAATACAAAAATGTTCATTTTTTTTGGGCTAAATTCAAATAAATAGGGTACAGCAGGATTATAACATCTGAGCCAATTGTGTAAATCTTGTATGCTAAGAGTTGTGTGCTTTACTGGGACCATGTGATTTCTATGCAGTTTCAGCAGAGCAACTCTATGTGTCCCTTTAACACATTGTTTAATTACAACTTTTTAGTTTATCAAGTTCATTGCAAAAACAGAGCAACTGCTGGTGAATGTTGTTGGACTTACAGAATGTTTGCCTTGTGATTGACTCATATTTAGTGCAAATGTTGTAAAAATTCTAAAGTAACTCATCCTAAAACTAGTAGTACTTATTAAAAGTTTGTTAGTCTGACATCAAACTAAAGATATCTCCAAATTCACACTAGATAGGTTTAGCCTAAAACTAGTTTGGTTTTCACGGATAAGGAAACAAACCTATTTAGTTTTTAGCTTCCTTTAAACAAAATTTAGAAAAAACATTATAATATTTTCTGTCTATCCACAGATATAAAATGGCAGTCAATTAAATGTCACCATTAACAACCCATTCTGTATCATATCAAACTTGTTATATAACTATGACATATAGCATCATTTAGATTAAACATGGTAATCGACAAAATGCTCAGTCATTGATCTGAATTCATTGTTTATCAGAAATCAGGGTTCAAATGTAAATCATCACAGCAATATCCCTTCTTCTACATCGTCTATTAAAGAACAAATACTGAGTTTTCATGTTAGAATCTGAAGTTTTATAATAATGACCGACTGTTTATCAAATTGTTATGAAAATGACCACACTTCGTTTAAACATTGTTTACAATAGAACTACTAAGTAAAAGTTTGTTGGTCTGATATCAAAGTTGTATCAATTGACCTGCAAGTTTGAAAATTAGAATTTCAAGATCAGTTGAGGATTTGTCAGACCTCAGGGCTAATATGTTAATTACCAGTCATTTCCTAGTAAAATGTTTGGAAATTCATAATTCCAATGATTCAAGTTTTAGGCAAACAATGTTTAATTTTGGGCCCGACAGAATGGCTTTACAACCTACAGCATACACTTGAGAAATTCAAAAGCAGCTTGTTTTTGGTAAACTTCCTGCAAGAACTGTTAATTCACCTACAGCTTTTTATCCATGTAGCTTTAGTTCTAGCAATTGTATTTTCTTGTTTTGAAAATGGCCAAGCTCAGCTAAGAATCTCAATTCATTGTATAAGTCAGAAAGAAGGGTTCAAAAATATCATCATAGCAAGAGCCATTTCATGACATACAAAATCCAAACATTCAACTTTGATGATTCCAAATTAAAAACAATATGTAATTTTCCTTTTTTTTGGCTAAATTTAAATAAATAAAGTACAGCAGGATTATAACATCTGAGCAAATTGTGTAAATCTTGTATGCTAAGAGTTGTGTGTTTTACTGGGACCGTGTGATTTCTATGCTGGTGAATGTTGTTGGACTTATAGAATGTTTGCCTTGTGATTGACTCATATTTAGTGCAAATGTTGTAAAAATTCTAAAGTAACTCATCCTTAAAACTAGTTGTACTTATTAAAAGTTTGTTAGTCTGACATCAAACTAAAGACATCTCCAAATTCACACTAGATAGGTTTAGCCTAAAACTAGTTTGGTTTTCATGGATAAGGAAACAAACCTAGTTAGTTTTAGCTTTCTTTAAACAAAATTTAGAAAAAACATTATAATATTTTCTGTATATTCACAGATATAAAATGGCAGTCAATTAAATGTCACCATTAACAACCCCATTCTGTATCATATCAAACTTGTTATATAACTATGACATATAGCATCATTTAGATTAAACATGGTAATCGACAAAATGCTCAGTCATTGATCTGAATTCATTGTTTATCAGAAATCAGGGTTCAAATGTAAATCATCACAGCAATATCCCTTCTTCTACATCGTCTATTAAAGAATAAATACTGAGTTTGCATGTTAGAATCTGAAGTTTTATAATAATGACCGACTGTTTATCAAATTGTTATGAAAATGACCACACTTCGTTTAAACATTGTTTACAATAGAACTACTAAGTAAAAGTTTGTTGGTCTGATATCAAAGTTGTATCAACTGACCTGCAAGTTTGAAAATTAGAATTTCAAGATCAGGGTTCAAATGTAAAATCATCACAGCTATTGTCATTTACCTACGAAAGATCAAACTTGACCCAGATTTGTATCGAAACAACATATTTACCTCATAGCTAAAAGATATTTTCTCATTTGGTACAAGTTTTTTCTTTGCTTCACTTGTGAGATTGACATCAACAATTTGATGATTGTTTTGACCCATATCAAACTTTTTGTGTGTCCAGATATAGAAGCCGTCACCTCCTTCATCTATTTCTCCTACAATTCCTGTAAGAAGAGACCAACATCAACAATGTACAACATATATATCTGCATATATTTTAACATACAGGTTGAGCATTATCGAAATTTTCTTGTGTATATAAAATACAGATCATAGTAACAACAGAATACTATTACAGAAATACTAAATACGACCTTCCACTTAGCCATTATAAGGGCATCAAGCACCAGAAAAATGTGAGTGGGACAAACACCTTCATCAAGACGCATCGTTAATGTTGAATTCATACTCGATCATCACATCCAATCAAGTGATTGATGATCGACTAATGATCAATCAAATTGAACTTAAATTCAGAAATTTAAGGTTATATTCACTTTCCGAAATCTACTTTTACTTTCGTTAACGTGAAAATGCCGACGCTAGAGAATTTCGCTAATAACACACAACATTCATACAAAAAACAATAAGTTTGTTGACAGAACCTTATAATTATTGGAAAATATGTATTTGGAAATGAAATTTATGATGTTTGCAATGCCAGTTAATATGCTGTGAGAGCTGCATCTCGTATTCAGAAATGTTATGGATTGGTATTCACCTGATGACACCCCGTCAAACGTAACACTTTATTTGTAAGATAGCCCACACTTTCGACAAAACGTTTTATTTATATCCAGCTAAGGACAAACAATACCTTCCAAACGTTTAAATCAGTAGCCCCCGGATGATCATAGAGTTTAATCTCCGGAATGTCCTGGTTTGCCATATTGTCACGCACTGACTGAGCCATGTAGCATTTCTATTGAAACAAGTTCTGATTGGGTGTCGGGTGGACCGACTAGCCTATCAGTGTCGTTGTTGTGCAAGACGTTCAGTCAAGTTGTTTTGCCCAAGAACAAACAACTCGCTGTCGGCGGTAATAACAGTATCCGAGTTTATTTTTTGTTAATATTTAAATTAGTCAAACCATGATCGATCATGGAAAACAAGGATAAATTAATCGATTTTCAGAAACAAACAACAATGTTTGTTTGCTTATCCATCCTACATTGGCTCACCATTTTTCCGACCCCAAATGATCCCTAGCGCAAGAAAAACAATATGAAAGGTATCAATATAAATATATCTTTTACCCCATATAGGCAGATCATCAATGTACATCTGATACCAATAGTGGTTTTTGACAGCATAAACAAAAGCCTGGTATTTCTCTTCAGTCAGCGTAACAGAGCAGTACTCGGTCTTCTTCATGTCACCTGAAATGAATACAGTAGTCTACATATGTAAATTTATTAAGCTACAGAGAAATATATTATTGTTTCCCTCCGAATATTTTAGTATAATCATACTGCTTAATGAAATACAATATATTCAAATCATCCATGATATTTGAAGATAGTGAAGGCTAAACACAAGATATTTGTTTTACTTTAAAAATTACGCAGCTCAATTATCAGGTTGGGGAAAACTACCAACTTGCGTATAATACGCAAACTCGCCTATTATACGCCAGTTGGAGTATGGATTTGTTACCAAAAATAACCCAAATCGCTTCAACAGTAACTTTTGCAATATATTATTAAAAATCGCATTTATTTACGACAAGGTAAACAATATTTTGCTAAAAGATGTTTAACTGAAAGCGTAAGCTACATACAAACTTTATGTAACTCTAGCGGAAGTATTGCATTTTTTGGTACTTTCTTACATGGAAATAAATTTTATATTTGCATAAATTGTATGATGTTTCATGACTAAATAAATGAGACTTGGACAAACAATTTGAAAAAGTTAACCCTTAGGCTGCTACATTGATTTCTATGTAAAGGGACGCCACTGCTGAATTAATTATTGAAATATAAATTAATTTACTTAATTTTTCAAATGCGCATAACTTGAAAAATATTTGTTATATGTGAATAAAAGTTATAGGAAAATTGTTCGTTAATGTCTCTAGTTTATATTAACGTTTTCGATTCTAAAGTTGCTTCAGTATTTACCTGTACAGGTGGTAATAAAGGTAAGAAAAGGTGAAACTTTTAATTAATCAGATTTAAGCACCAGAAAGATCATTTTAAAATTGTTTTTGTCAGCAAATGTGATTGGAAAATGATAACAGAGATTATAAACATCATTTATGACATAAGACGCTGTACATTTACACAGAGATTCTCAGGTAAAAAGGTCAGGTATTTCATCAAGAACTGCATGCGATTTGCTACCGGTTTCAGGTCCTCATTCATTATGTTTATTGTCACAGTCGGCATATAGATATATTTTAGCTACGGTCTAGTTTATGATTAAATCATCGATATATAGTTTGAAGAAATCAATCGGCTCAAAACGTATCAATGTCAATGTTCAATTCGGCCTCACCTGCAGACGACATGTGCGCCTAGGTCCGCTGATATTTTCATGTTTGCATAGGGCACAAAGCCGTTCTTTGGAAAGTTACATATTATGTTACACCAAAGTATTTCCACATCAACCATGTCAAACCCTTTAAAACCTTTATTATCATCGTAGGTGATGCTGGAGAATAAATGTTTACCATCATATTCATCACTTCAATCTACACGTTTGCCATTTTTATGACTTTTTTTCCGATTTGAAATACTCTCGCACACTTTGATTATTACTAGGGTACATTGCCGGGAATATCGAAAGTAATGACAAAACAACCAATCAGAAGCCTTCTACTATACGCTTCCGGGTTTGGTATAGCAACAGTCCGCTTTCACACTTCCTGTTTACTGATCAAAAACCTACAGACCATGCACCACTAGTGTGGTGCGTAGCACTGACGGCCCGACTTTTCGAAACCACTATTGTGGCGCGTAGCAGCCTAAGGGTTAAGATTCTAGTGATTTTGGCTGTTTTTAGTAACAAATCCATACACCAATTGGCGTATAATAGGCAAGTTTGCGTAATATACACAAGTTAGTGGTTTAACNAGTATCTCCAGACTTCCATGCACATACCACAACACATTCACAAATGATGAGAATGGAGGAATCACCTTTCTCTATATAACAACCACTTAAGGTTTCCTTACTCCAGACTCATTGGATAAATTACGATTGAAAACAGCAGTTACTATACCATTACTCCAGACTCATTGGATAAATTACGATTGAAAACAGCAGTTACTATACCAAAGAGAAACATATGGATTTCTAGATATAATATTTGAACGTTGTGGAAGAAAAAGGCCCCTAAACTTGCGATTGTTGATTATTAAGTTTATCTCGACTCTCATTAGTTAATTTTCAAATTGTAAAAGACACTTGATAAACCTGCATGGTGTCTTTATACAATTCATATATATAGTAACAAACTCCATCCAATTAGATAAACATGATAACCAACCATCATTCATTGAAGAACCTCTATTTATAAAACCCATTTACCAACGAAGTTACTAGTCTCTAGAAACAGCAAAAAGGAAACAATGAATGCCCTCTACTCATGAAAGTTGGTTGAAATGATAATTCTTGTGCATCGTAGAGATATATTTGTATTTTTTTCATCCATACATGGGGCAGGAATTGATCATTTCTCTTTTTAAACAAGTGTTATGAAGGAATTTTCATATTGACTACATGAAATCTTTACTACTTTTCCTTTACTTCTTGGTTTATTTGCAGACATCATTCTGTTGTGTATATTTCTATAAGATATTTATCCATACTTGTCCATGACATGGGATATTTTGCATGTGCGATACTGCTAGCTTTTCATAGACCTCATGCCTGACCGATCTTTATCCAACCCATATGTCTTTTATGTGCCATTATCATATTGGGACAAGACATGCTATACTTTGTGGTAGCTCTAAGGATATAGAAATTGTCATATCATAACATCTTACAGTTAAGTTTTACATCATTGACCAAGATGTCTGTGATGTAATTTCCTTTGGTATGCATGTTTCCAGTGTTGTACTGCGGAAAGTGTTTCGTAAAATTACCTTCCTATTTTTTTTATTGAACTGTAACACGAGAGGGAAAATGCACAGCCAGACCAGGGTTCAAACCCAGGACATTCTGAACTCTTAGAGGGACGCTCTACCAATCGAGCTACCTGGTTGCCAACCACCCAGTTTCGCTATATTACTCCCTCCGTTTTGCAAGTCTTTACCACTCCCTCCGTTTTGCAAGTCTTTACCCCAAAAACAACCATTCACAACCAGGTCGGGCATCCCCTTTCAAGCATACACCAAATGCTTGAAGCGATGGTGACAGGCACCACTAATATAACAGGAGAGGAAAAATGCACGGCCAATTAACCAGGACCTTCCCAACTCTAGACATATGCTCCACCAATTGAGCTACCTGGTCGCCGACGATCAACCCAGGCCAGTTCTGCTACATTACATGTACATTAAATTAGATATCTTACTCTCATGATATCAAACACTAATATTGAGTATTGTTGGTCAAGTTGTGATCTGTGAACATTTCAGTTGGTAGGTTCTGTATAACATAGCTTCTTTGTCTATGGTGTGTAAAATTCTAAGACTGCCTATTTCGATCGACTTTACTGTAGATAACTACAAATGAGTGGAAGTGGAGTGTAGGAGTTATTCTAACCTGGTGGCAGGGGGGATATTCTAACCTGGTGGTAATGTCATTATCAGGCCTCAACTTAATGCAGACGGTCGGTCAGGGTATGAATTCATGAAATCGAATATTGCTTCTGTAATAATGTTGTAATATTCATATACTCGATATTCTTATAAATGTTGTGAACAACACCCTGTCAACGTGTCAAATGTTCCTCTAGGCTCTAAACATTTTGGTTGCCAAGTGTAAAAATGCATTTTTTTGCTATCGCCATGACATGCAATTGTAAATAAACATCTTCGACATATACTTCGGAACTATTGAACACTAATGTGTCTTCTTTATATATAAGAATGCGATTGCAGCAACGTGTCATACGCATATATTGATAATTTGCCGGTTCAGCGACGTCGAACTACAAATGTCAGAGGAAGGCGGCTTTACCTGATGGGTATGTTCGTCTCCAAATGCAGTGTTGAAGACGCAAATAACGATGTATGTTATTACTAAAAGGCTAAGGCATCGACTGCCCATCTTATTTGTCTTAGATGTCTTCAAGTATTGCTGGATTCGAGATGGATGCTAAACGGGTATTTCCGAGACTCTTCGGCCAATATGGCAGACTCCATTGGCCACGTCACGCACACCGATAGACGGAGAAGACTGGAATGAAGGGGAGATTACTCTTCGATACACACGCCGTTTAGTCGACCATTGTCACTTTTCTTGACAAATAAACCAGCAATAAAATGATATCATAAAAAATATCTTAGCTCTGTATAATTTAGAAATAAAGAAATATTTCGGGCTATTGATTTGTAAAAAAATTACAAACTATTTTGTATCGGCAAAAGGACTGACGTGCGGCCATGATCGATTTGACCACGGAATTAGAATAGTTATCTAAGTCCGTGATTTGACTGAGATCGAGATTTGTCTTCTTCATTAGTTTAATTTGGATAAAAATAAAAACTGTTAAAAACAATATTAAAGGATAGATGTATATGCTTACCATTAGAACTTTCTTCCAGATGCTGTCGTTACTTGATGATGACAAATTGAGTATAACTGTTAGATGATGTACCAAATGAATTCATACGAATGTGGCAGTTTTTATTTGTACATGTACCTACGATCGCCTTAGTTCTATTTTCGAGCTAGAGGGAATTTCCCTCGCTCAGTGGTAGAGCTTCCGATGAATAAACTTGCAGTATAGTAATATATCTTGCGGCTTTAAAGTTGTCGAGTGGGACGATAGAGAGGTGATATCGCGGAATTAGAAATAGATGCTATCTAAGTCCGTGGTAATACAGAATCGTTTACTTTTTCTTTTCACATATCTTGATACTTTCTTACAAACTTGCTGAAGTTTCGTCCTTGGATATTACTCTATACATTTGCATTTGCAATGTAAAGTAAAACACTGCGACGTGTGTTTGTTCCTACTTCGGGTTCACTGTCGTGTATTTTGTCCTCATTTCGTCAGTTTCTTCGGTCATCACCATCATGTAATAAGGTCAAATAATGTTTAATAGATTGTGTGGTGTCAAGTTTCTGTGATGTATCCTGCGGTTAAAAAAATGAATTCGCAAGTTTATTACTCGTATATGACCAGCCCACAGTTTTGGTGACCCAAATGATGTTAATTGGGCTCGTGAACAACCTTTTGCTGTTACAATTGAGCAGCATTTTCCCATCGAGCAAAAATATCAAAGGAAACCCCGAGCTCCTTTTATGAACGGTAAACTATTAAAGGAGAGCAATAAATCACAAGAAAAACTCATTTCGTTAATTTATTTATTATGCATTTATATTGTTAAGCTTGAGTTTTTATCAACTTATATGGCAGTTTGGCAAACACCAAGAACATCGAAAGGGTACACTATACAGCTCTTAAATAGTTCAAGATGAAAGTTTTGGAAAAGCGTATAGTGTAAAGTTCTGCCGTCGGTGTCGAAAAAGATTGTCCACATTTATTTATTTTTATATATACTTAATCAAAGTCTCTCTCTCTCTCTCTCTCTCTCTCTCTCTCTCTCTCGTTTATTTTGTAAATATGATGTATATATATATATATGTCATCTTGTAACCTCTTATTGTTAAATTCTATTGTATTGGGAAAGGGCTTTATATAAGTTAGAAAACTTGTGCACAATCCCAATGTATATTTTGATGCACATAAAATATGTTTAAATCAAACAGCTATTTAATATATTCATCAAGATTTTAACTCCAGATAGAAACTTTTAAAACTTTTAATGAACAAGGCCCCTGTTATCTACAGGAATTTATTCGTGTAAAAACTTCATCTTATAATTTCAGGTATAGACATTTTTTAGAAGTACCTCGAAACAGAACAGTTAAGAATGGAACAAATAGCTTTAACTATTTATTTTAGCTGCCTCTACGTGGAACTCATCATCATAGCTTGTCAAATAATCAAAGTGTGGAATGGCGAGTTCAAGTTGTCATTGTGCGATGTAATGATGCGTTCCCTCCCTTCGCTGTATTTGTTGTTTTTATCTTCCTGCTTCAAACTTTTAGCTAGTAATTATGCTGCAATGTGTATATATGTTTTACGTGCTGTTTGTATTGTTTTCTACTTATTTGTGACAATTTCATGTGCCGCTAATAAAACATTACTTTATTTGTAGTGATTGCTTTTCAGTTTGTTTGTATTTTATGCGGGCAGGCCAATATGTGCTTTTCATTTTATGCATATCTGTATTATTTATGTGTGTAGTAATTATGTAATTTGTTGAAGGAAATACACAATGGGTGTTTCTCTGAGTACCAACATTTTTAATTTACCTGTAGGGCAACTTGTTTTGAGATGGATTATAGTCTTTTTTCCTAAAAAGTGTCTGAATTTCAACAGGTGAATCTAACTGTAAAACTTACCTGTCGGAACTCTGGCACATACATATTGATATATACTTGTATATGTAATTTGTGAACTTTTTATTTTCTTCAGTTTCATATTCCATATATCATTGACAAGCTAGTCCATGTAGTATCTAATATGATGTTAATTGAATTGATCTTTCACTTATAGACAAATGGCATACCAACGGTACTATATACAGCACAATTAATGAAAAGTTTACAACATTTTTTAAACTCAAAAATGTTAGCAAAAAGGAATAAAATTTAGAGACATATAAAGCCAGTATATATGTCTCTCATTAAATGAAGAAAGGTTACTTTAGGAGTTTTGAAAGTTTGGGAATAAAAAGGAAATATGTATGCGTGGACTAAACATTTTAGAAAACCACGTAGGTGAGAATTATGCCCTCTCCAGACGTATTGAGGCTCCAGTTTCATAAATTTACGTTTCCTTAAATTCTTTTTAACATTCATTTTAAAATTCACTTGACTTGACTTGACTTGTTACTGTAGTTCACAAACAATCAAATCATTTAAATCCCGATCGGATAAACACTTGGGGCAAGACTATAACGAACTTATTCATATTCGGGATTAATGTAAATTCGATCTGGTTATATAGGCATAAGTGCCTGCGTCCACTATTATAATATTATATTATATATAATGAATATTATTTTCTGTGAAGACTAAAAGGCTACTCGACACGTCACAGTAAGTGTCATACATTTATATGCTGCTAATTTTTCACGTGCAACTTAGCACTTTTTGATAGGAACCGTGTATGGTTGCCATCTTGGATTTTGAAGGAATATCGGCACCCGAGCGTCTCAGATTTTCCTTCTTTGTGCCTAACTTGATATTTTTAATTCGTCATAAAAACCCTGGGCTGTTAAAATCGCCTGTCGTCCGCCTGTCCATAGTTAGTCTGACAAGTAGCCATCTTGCATTTTGACAGTAAAACTTAGCTATCGCCATTTTACAGATATCTTTCTCCAATTTCACTTGTAGGCTTTTATTACCACAGAGTCGCGCATGGAACTGGGGTAGATTACAAAACAAGATGGCTATATTGCCAGGCAACCATGCATCTTGGAATTCACATTGCAAAAATATTTTCGCTATTTCTCATAAAATACTGAAGAAATATTTCCGTTGATCCTAGTAGTAGTTGTGTTTGTTAAATTGCAGTGAACACCAAACGACCACCCACAAGGGCCTTAATGGACGATACGACGTCGACAACAACTGATGACTAGGGACCCTTTCAGATTTAGAGGAGACGATACAATGAGATGAGGGTTCAGTAAACACACTTGGCAATGAAATTATGACGAGCGCCATTTTTTAATAGATCGTGAGTTTTATTCCGATGCAATGCAACTTGTTAATTGTTTATGACTTCTAATGTATTGTATTTACCTGTAATATTGCCTTGTGACACGTTAAGTGTTTATGACTTCTAATGTATTGTATATACCTGTAATATTGCCTTGTAACACGTTAAGTATTTATGACTTCTAATGTATTGTATATACCTGTAATATTGCCTTGTGCCACGTTAAGTGTTTATGACTTCTAATGCATTGTATTTACCTGTAATATTGCCTTGTGACACGTTAAGGGGTTATGACTTCTAATGCATCGTATATACCTGTAATATTGCCTTGTGACACGTTAAGGGGTTATGACTTCTAATGCATCGTATATACCTGTAATATTGCCTTGTGACACGTTAATTGTTTATGACTTCTAATGCATTGTATATACCTGTAATATTGCCTTGTGCCACGTTAAGTGTTTATGACTTCTAATGCATTGTATATACCTGTAATATTGCCTTGTGACTCGTTAAGTGTTTATGACTTCTAATGCATTGTATATACCTGTAATATTGCCTTGTGACACGTTAATTGTTTATGACTTCTAATGCATTGTATATACCTGTAATATTGCCTTGTGCCACGTTAAGTGTTTATGACTTCTAATGCATTGTATTTACCTGTAATATTGCCTTGTGACACTTTGAGTGTTTATGACTTCTAATGTATTGTATATACCTGTAATTTTGCCTTGTGACACGTTAAGTGTTTATGACTTCTAGTGCATTGTATATACCTGTAATATTGCCTTGTGACACGTTAAGTGTTTATGCCTTCTAATGCATTGTATTTACCTGTAATATTGCCTTGTGACACTTTGAGTGTTTATGACTTCTAATGTATTGTATATACCTGTAATACTGCCTTGTGACACGTTAAGTGTTTATGACTTCTTATGTATTGTATTTACCTGTAATATTGCCTTGTGACACGATAAGTGTTTATGACTTCTAATGCATTGTATTTACCTGTAATATTGCCTTGTGACACTTTGAGTGTTTATGACTTCTAATGTATTGTATATACCTGTAATTTTGCCTTGTGACACGTTAAGTGTTTATGACTTTTAATGCATTGTATTTACCTGTAATATTGCCTTGTGACACTTTGAGTGTTTATGACTTCTAATGTATTGTATATACCTGTAATACTGCCTTGTGACACGTTAAGTGTTTATGACTTTTAATGCATTGTATTTACCTGTAATATTGCCTTGTGACACGTTAAGTATTTATGACTTCTAATGTATTGTATATACCTGTAATTTTGCCTTGTGACACGTTAAGTGTTTATGACTTCTAACGCATTGTATATACCTGTAATATTGCCTTGTGACACGTTAAGGAAATAGTAAAAATCACTATTGTATTTTACTATAGTCATATCTTCAGGAACATTTAATTGCAAGAACTCTCTACCGGTGAGAAAGATGACGCTTTACTTAGTAAGAGAAACTCTACACATCACTGCCTGTCAGATGACGCTTTAGTGGATTGTAGGATCAGATGAGTTGATCGGAAATATTTTCCTCATTTAATGCAGTCCTGGCTACCTCAAGTATATGAAAGTTCTATGCCACACTTAACATACTGCCCGTTAGTACACCTCATGAACTTATGGATATTAACAATCCTTCACACATATGTTTATATCACCGACTACGTGCTTTGCAACATATGTAGCAATGTGCCTGTATAGGAAAACGCATTTTAAACCGATTTATGGACCACCTGCTTTAGCAAAAGAAACACCCATTTGCATCACATAAGGCATTCTTAAAATACATAACCATTAAAAAATCAGATGCAATACATCATTCAAAACAAAACTTTTATTTCAGAAGACTTTTCAAATGCAAAACAGGAAATCAAACAGAATTGGTTTATATCCGAGGAAACAGGACATACCCATGGCATGCTTATCTCGCAAGACAAATATGTTTTGTACCATATCAACAGCTGCATATCACGGTTTTAGTGTTTTTATTTAAAAGCAGATCAACCTGAACTTTTATTGTAGCGATATTGTTTTACATACAGATAGAATATGAACTTGTATTACAACAATATTGTTTTACATACAGACAAAATATCAAAATGTGTTGCTGCGATATTGTTATACATAGTTAAAACATGAATTTGTATAACAACAATATTGTTTTCGATACAGACAAAATATCAAAATGTATTGCTGTGATATTGTTATACATAGTTAAAACATGAATTTGAATTACAACAATATTGTTTTCGATACAGACAAAATATCAAAATGTATTGCTGTGATATTGTTATAGTTAGTTAAAACATGAATTTGTATTACAACAATATTGTTTTCGATACAGACAAAATATCAAAATGTCTTGCTGTGATATTGTTATACATAGTTAAAACATGGATTTGTATTACAGAAATATTGTTTTCGATATAGACAAAATATCAAAATGTCTTGCTATGATATTGTTAAAGTTAGTTAAAACATGAATTTGTATTACAGCAATATTGTTTTCGATAGAGACAAAATATCAAATGTGTTGCTGTGATATTGTTATAGTTAGTTAAAACATGAATCTGTATTACAACAATATTGTTTTCGATACAGACAAAATATCAAATGTATTGCTGTGATATTGTTATACATAGGTAAAACATGAATTTGTATTACAACAATATTGTTTTCGATACAGACAAAATATCAAAATGTGTTGCTGTGATATTGTTATAGTTAGTTAAAACATCAATTTGTATTTCAACAATATTGTTTTACATACAGACAAAATATGAACTTGTATTACAACAATATTGTTTTACATGCAGACAAAATATCAAAATGTCTTGCTGTGATATTGTTATACATAGTTAAAACAGGAATTTGTATTACAATAATATTGTATTCGATACAGACAAAATATCAAAATGTGTTGCTGTGATATTGTTATACATAGTTAAAATATGAACTTTTTTACAACAATATTGTTTTACATACAGACAAAATATGAACTTGTGTTACAACAATATTGTTTAACATACAGACAAAATATGAACTTGTATTACAACAAAACTGTTTGAGAAACAGATCAATTATCAAAATGTTTTGCTGTGATATTGTTATAGTTAGTTAAAACATGAATTTGTTTTACAACATTATTGTTATAGATACAGACAAAATATCAAAATGTGTTGCATGTATATTGTTATACATAGTGAAAACATGAACTTGTATTACAACAATATTGTTGTAGAGATCCAGACAAAATATCAAAATCTGTTGCTGTGATATTGTTATATTTAGTTAATATATGAACTTGTATTACAACAATATTGTTTTGGAGACAGGTAAAATATCATTTTGTATTGCTAAAATATATTTTACTTACAGACAAAAATATCAAAACGTATTGCTGAGATATCGTTCTATAGAGTTAAAATATGAACTTGTATTGCATAAATATTGTTTTAGATATAGATTGAATATCAATTTGCATTGCTGCGATATTGTTTAACCTTTAGATAAAATATGAACTTGTATTACAACAAAATTGTTTTAGAAACAGAGCAATTATCAAAATGTGTTGCTGTGATATTTTTATACAGAGTTAAAATATGAACTTTTTTACAACAATATTGTTTTAGATACAGACAAAATAGCGAACTTGTATTA